CCTAAACACCAAAAAATTCCGGAAATTATATTTTTCATTATTTTTTGTTTCCGTAAAGTTGTTCAAATTTTAGTTATAATTCTTAGTTTTTAATCAGTTTTATTGAAATATGTTTTCCTTCTAATTCATGTTTTGCCGACTGGAATATAATGAATTGACGATTGCCTGACGACTGGGGGCGTTTCACACCCGTCACACTCTCCTAGCTCCGCCAATGTTAAAGCATTAAAACCCAATGTTATGCAAGGACGAGTTTCAAATATACTGTAACATCAAGTTAGCAATTAAGGTGTATAGGTATCAATGATGTAACAATACCCTACCCTCTAGGTTTAGGAGCGGGCTTAAGTAAATAGTAGCGTGCCAACCTGTTTCAGTGACCTATGCTTCCAAACAACACTTTCGAACTAAATATGCGTTTCACTTGCACACAATTTAAACCGGACGGATTCTTCCTGGAAATGCATGGTTGGAATTAAAATCCATGCACAGTCAACATCATCTATCAAGGTAAGGTTTGGTTTTTCTTAGTATTTATAATTAATTTGATCGCATTATTTGTAATTCTACTAAGGGACCGCTCATAAAGTAAAAGGGGGGGGGGCTGGGAAAAATAGGGGGATGGGTCACTATTTTTGAGCACGGTTGAAGGGGTGGGTCATCGAAAGTTATGCGCAATCATAGGGGTGGGCCATGTAAAAATATGCACAAGATTGGGCCCAGTCATTTTTTTGTGTTAAAAATTTCCGCGCAAAGAACACGATATCTGTTTTTTTAGGCTAAGTACCGAAATTTGGTATGGAAATTTAAGATGGAGTCCTTGGAAAGCAATTGCAACGTACTTGTCCGGAAAAATTTTTTACCTAAAAAAAAGTTGTCGACGGGGGGGAGGAGGTTCTTGTCCGAAAATTTTTTTTTCGGAAAAAATTGGAAAAGGGGTGGGTCATAATTTCTCAGCACCAATTTAAGGGTGGGCTACATATTTTCGTGCAGCTATTAAGGGGTAGGCTACCAAAAGGGCAGACACCAAATATATGATTTTCCCAGCCCCCCCTTTTACTTTATGACCGGTCCCTAACATTATTAAATTCTTTATGATTCTTAGTGAAAGTTTGAAAGTTTGTGCGAGTGCTATTTATAATGGTGAAGTTCATGGATTCGTTTTGTACGATTTAATTAAACAAAATTCTTTTTAACTTTAGGCACAGATCTTTTAAATAGGTACATTCTGGCGATAAAGCATGGTTAATAAACATGGACCAAGGTCTCATTAATGGTGTACTATTCTTAGACCTAAAAAAAGCATTCGATACGGTGGACCACAATATTCTTTTATCTAAATTGACAGCTTATGGAATAAAGGGTACAGCACACAAATGGTTTCAGTCATATTTAAGGAAGAGGCAGCAAATATGTAAAATTAACAAAAAAATGTCGGATATAAGAACAATTACCTGCGGAGTTCCTCAAGGGACAAATCTAGGCCCGTTGCTATTTCTCCTTTATATAAATGATCTGCCAAATTGCCTTGTAACAACAAGCGCCACAATGTTTGCGGATGATACAAGCCTATCATGTAACGGACTATCATCCGCAGATATAGAGAGTAAACTGAATCACGATTTAGAAATAATTCACACATGGTTAACCGCAAACAAGCTGACTTTAAACCGTAAAAAACTGAATACATGATTATTGGCTCACGACAAAAAATAAATTCTATTGGCACAAATACTACAAACATATCAATCGCAGGCGAGCAAATAAGACGAGTTGAAAGCACAAAATCCTTAGGCATAATTATAGATGAACAATTAAAATGGGAAGAACATAACAGTAAACAATGTAAAACAATCTCAGCACGTATCGGAATGTTAAGAAAAGCTAGAGATTTTGTTACACAAGATGTTTTAATTACAATGTATAATTCACTTGTATTTCCTCACTTTACCTACTGCTCAAGTGTGTGGCATGGCTTTCGCGCTGATCACATTAATAAATTATATAAGTTACAGAAAAGGGCTGCTCGTGTAATAACAGGATCCAGTTACGACATACGATCAACTAACATTTTTGAAACCTTAAACTGGAGACCTATAAAAGACAACTTAGACGAGCGCGACCTTGTAATGATATTTAAGGCCCTTAAAGGTCTAGTGCCCGACTACCTAATGCAGACAATTAACTTGAACGAAAACGGCAACTATCAATTACGTAGCAACAATAGAAATATTTACCTACCTAAGCCAAAGACAAATTTTCTAAAAAATAGCTTTCCCTATCGAGGAGCCATGAGTTGGAATAACCTACCTAATCATATTATTGATCAAGCATTAATAGAAGATGTCTCTGTCAACTCCTTTAAGAATGTCATAAAACGTATGTCCTAATCCATTGGTCCTAATCTATAGTGTAATTAATTGCATCCATGTAAATAGTTTATGTAAGTGGCCTGTTTTTCTCGCTTTTAGATTTCCTTTTTTTTTCTAAATATTTTAATGAACTCACGGCCCTTTGAAAAACAGATGTACTTCTGAAAGGCTACCGTGATTAAATAAGATTAAATAATAATAATAATAATAATAATAATCATAGGTGGCGAAAATAGTACAGGCGTATACGTAATAGTTCAGCAGTCTGAATCAGTTTGAAAATTTTGCACTAAGAAATCGCCATAATCCAATAATCTAAACTTCCAAATATTTTGTTACTACTTCTTGGATTAATAATCATTACCCGTTTAAATTTTAGAAATACTAAATATGGCTTGGGTAGGGGATGGGGGGCCCAGAACCACCACTTTTCCCCAGGGTAAATTTTGTAATTCTTCCAAAACTGTAGAAAAACTAGGCGGGCGGGTGGGGGGGGGGGGAATGGCGGGGCGTAAACTTGTAATCTCTGACATAAAATATACCAAGTCTGTGCCTTTCAGGTTATCATAAAACGCGCGTACGTGTCTAAAATGCATGAAATAAAGTTTCACGGACCTTAAAAACAGAAATGTTTTGTTTCTGTGTATTTGAAGATTTAGACCCCCTACTCATTCGAGACTGGCTACGCGCCTGAAAATGGCTAAATCTCGGTTCAAAACGCGAACAATAAGATTTGGCTAGCATAAAATCTAAAAATACGGGTGTTTAATTTACCCTATACTTGTCTATAAATGTGTAAAAAATCGACTTGCGAAGCAGCTTTACCCACAACACACCATTATCGAATATACTATGAATTTGTTACTTGTGTATATATACATTAAAGATTTAAGTTTAGTGACTCCGAAATACAATAGAGCTACAGAAGCAGGAAGAACTTTTTCTATAACCGCTATAGGCCTCTGGAACAAATTACCTTTAAGTTTCCGTTCTGCTAGCTCCATTAACTGTTTTAAATACTTATTATATAATTGCTTCCGTACGCACCAGAGTGAATTTAAGCAATTTACTTCTTTTCCTGATTTCAAATTTAAGTAATATATAATTGTAATATACCTATATAATGTTCTCTTTTATATAAATGTAATGTCATATATACCTCATGTAATATAACCTTTTTAATTAAGTAAACTTGAAAGTCTGAATATCGATTTATAATCATAGATATATATATATATATAAATGTTGTAAATAGACAATAGATATACTCCCTAATTTTTTGTAAATTTTATGAGGGCCACAAGTTCATTAGTACTTCGTACTATTAAGTGTCACCCTCTTTAAATAAAGTCTCTATCTATCTATCTATACATGTAAATATATGTGACTTGTCCTTGTGGTCGTTAGTCGTTACAGATTTAAACCCGGTAATGTTACATTTTGCGTTCACTTCATATAAGCCCAAATTGATATTCAAACCGATGCGCTTTTGATACAATATAATTCATGTTCATTCTCATGGCATGGTCTTTCTTGGAATATCCTTCCAAAACACTCATTGCAAACAAATTCCCCGCACTTCCTACATTCATAATCAGATGGGTTACCACAGAAACTGCAGAAAAGACCTGGATCCATTCCTTGAAAATTGTTAGTTGCATCAACGGGACCCAGTCCAAGCAGTTTGCCGTCAGTCATCTTGTGTTCAAAGTCTTCTTTATATCTTACCCTTTCTCCATCTACTTCTCTGACTATATGTTTTATAATCACCTTGAATAATACTTGGTGTTGAATTTCTATTTAATACATTTTGTTTAATATTCTCCGCTTATGCCATACGTGTAGCTAAAATCTGGTCAGCTCGCTCTATTCCAGCCAGAATGTCTTTTCCGACCGTTGTAGTATTTTCGTGAAGGTGACTGCTGTCATGTTCTGAATTTCCACCTCGAGCAACTACTTGTTTCTCAGAGCTCGCGCGTCTCATTGCATCAGTTGCCATTTAGTTCCATGTTGTAGCCATATTCGTGTTGCAGGTGGCCATGGAGTTTGTTATTAAACGCACGGGGCATGGAGGCCAATGTGGTTCTATCTAAATATACGTATAATTGCTTTCTGACATTGGTGGTGGTGACACAGCATGATCACCGTCGCCATCGCCATATAATTCATGATCGAGATAGCTTACAGGGCGCAGGGAGGGAAAACCGCTATTGGGACTGTAATCATGATGTTCATTTTGGCAACCTTGACTCTTGGGCTGCAAATCCAAGAATTCCTTGTTCTCGTCCAAGTTACGATTAGGTGGGTATCTGACGTTATGATCATAAATAGAATGATCACCGTCGTCATCGTCATATAGTTCATGATCGGCACCACGTTCTGAATTTCCACCAGGAACAATTACGTGTTTCTCAAAGCTCGAGTGTCTCCTCATTGCATCAGTTGCCATTTCGATGTTGTCACCAAATTCGTTTTGCAGGTGCTCATGGAGTTTGTTATTAAACGCACGAGATGGCATTAAAGGCAATAAAATCTGATCAGCTCTTTCTTTTGTAGCCAAAATGTCATGTTCTTCAAACTTTCGGGTGCGTGCTATAGTAGAACAAATACTGAACTGTAAAATATTAGTCTGCAAAATACATTAAATAATTACTGGCCTGCTTATATATATAGTGTTGCTAAGGAGGAAGGTCAAGAACCAGAGAAGCAAACATGCTTTGAATACCCTGGGATATTTCCCCTCTCTCCCCTTGTCAGAAAAGACTGAACACAAGACTGGTCAAGCAATATTAGAAGAGGGAATCACAGTGTAAAACAATCGCGAATAATATTGCTTTGTTGAAAAGGGCAAAAAAATTTGTCGCAAGGCATGCATACTCTGATAAAAATGTGCAACGCATACGTATTGCCTCGTTTTTTTAACGGATTGACTGTTTGTGACTACGTTGCCATCACTACAAAACTTTCAAACTGCACAGGAGAGCAGCGCGTGTGATAACTGGGAACACTTATGAAGGTCGTTTCACCAAAATATTTTGAAATCTTGGGTTGATGATGGGCCGTCAGATCTTAAATTGGTACCCGCAGATAGAACTATAATAAGGTTTAAAGCTCCAACATGGCGATTTCCAGATTATCTTGCAGAGCTAGATTATCCTTACTATATAGATTTCGTTTAATCGTTTTCAAAACGTTCCCATATATTACAGTGCGTTCGCACGCAACCGGATTCGCTGCGTTGGCCAACAGTTTCCATTCTGGACACCGTTTTCGAACGCTTGCGCGGTTTCGGTGTGCGTTTTCGCCGAATACATGTGGACGGAATATATCCGCAACAAAATGTTCCGTGGATACAAACGAATCCTATCGTGGATACATGTGAATGCATGGGGCCTTAAATTAATCATGTGTAATTGCTGCCGCAGCGAGCGAGCCTGAAGCGAGCGAGCAAGGCAGGAGATCCTAATTTTGTTTTGTGGGACGAAATCAAAATTTTCTATTTGGCGCCTTGCATGACGGTACCAGTGAATTTTGACCGTGGTGCAGCGCGGTCAGGCACAAGGCGAATAGGCAGCTAGCTTAAAGTGATCAAACGGCAGTTTGTTGGGTGCTTTCGCCATTATGCGGCGGTGGTTCGAGCATTATACGCGGTGCTTTCGCCATCATACGCGGTGCTTTCACCATTTATATACCGCGGTGCTTTAGCAATTATACGCAGTGGTTCGAGCATTATACGCGGTACTTTTAACATTATACGCGATGCTTTCATTCAACATTATTTCCATATTCTTTCCATGTATATGATTTTACGATTGCTTAAATTTGGTATGTGGTTGACAATGCTTTTTGCCTCTGGTCTGCAATGACAATGACATGCTTCAAAAAGGTTTATTTTATATGCACTTTGCGAGTTCTATATTACCATATAGTGTTGATTTATTAGTAATAAATCTGTGTGTATATAAATGAATACAACGCAGCGAATGCGCCAAGCAGTATAAACGCGGCTGAAATACGATACTAAAATCTTGAATGTGCCGCATGATTTAATTATGTTTTAGGATTTCATGCTTTGTCATTTGTATTTATACTTGTACTGCATCACAAGGCAGTGCGTAATCCGTGAACAGATTCCACATGTGAGGTTGTCTTGTATATATTTTTGCCTTCTTTGATAAACATTATTATTAAACACGCAAATTTTAATTAGTGAGACGCACAGTCGCACATTAATAGCGAGTCCAGTGGCGGCGCCAGGGGGGGGGGCAAGGGGGGACAAATGCCCCCCAATTATTTTTCCCCCCCACCCCATTTTGTCCCCCCCCCCTCAAAAAAATATTAGTCACTGAGAGCGAATAAAGGATACACAAGCGTTTTGTCATTATCGGAAATTATATGGCTTATAAGTTGTCATTACTCATTAGTAAATGGGCGTATACATGAAACTGTTTTTTACAGTTTTAATATTAGTTTGTAAGTCTCTGAATGGTAAAACTTGCCAATACTCCAATAATACGTTTCAAAAAAGACAAAAAGCTTTAGTTTTGCAAAGTTAAATTCTCGAACGTGTAAGGGGGGGGGGGGGCAGTATCCTGAATGGGGTCGATATTCCTAGGGTATTCGGCCCCCTGGGGGTCGATATTCCTAGAATATTCGCCCCCGAGGGGCGATATTTATTCCTAGGAATATCGCCCCCCTTCTGAGAGGGGGCGAATCTCTTGGGGGGGGGGGAGGGCGAAAGTCCTGTGACAAAGGCATGCCGCAAATAGCAGTACCTCAGTTTTTAAAAGTTCTATCTTGCCCCCCCCAAATATGAGTTTGCCCCTCAAATGCCCCCCCCCCCAATTCTGAGGCCTGCGCATTGGCGCCGCCACTGAGTGAGTCTGTGGAACCGACAATTCGGCCACAGTTTAAAGTATAATCGGAGCATTTCTCTTTGACAACCCTTCTCCCACAACATTATGTGTGCCATAGTTGTTTTATTAATTGTCTTAGAATATTTGCTTAACGAATTGGTGCATTAATTCAAATTTGTGAGGCGATTGAATTTGAAGTGGTGAATGCGTGAGAATCATCTTATTTATAGCTATCATGTCCCATTAGGGATTACACTTCAATTTGAATATATTATGAAAGTCAAACTGTGGTATTTTGTTCTCGCACTCTGTTTTGAGTGCTATGAATAGTTCCAACTGAGTTGCACGCCTGAGCGCGTTTAGTCTAAAATCGAAATCTCACGATTGTGCAAAACAAACTTTCCAGTTTGGTACAATTGATGTATTGGTACACTTAATGCGATCCTTAATAAGTTGAGACTTTGAAGATTCCATATATCACAAATGCATTGCAATATGTATATATTGTATTGAAACATGTAGGCAATATTTTTAATAGCTCCACTCTGAATTACTGGAACAAACAATTTATTTCTAAATAATAATTAAACATACCAATTTTCCCGATATTATTCCACTTTACATTCTCGAGGACATCTTCAGTTGGTTTTGCTTGATATTCAATGGCGTCATTGTGTACTGGATTCATTAATTCTGGTCGTTCTTTCTCAATATTCCCAGCTTTTTCTTCCACTTCGTATTTAAGCGAAATAATTTCCTCATCGCTACCATTGGTGATGATATTCTCGGCAAAATCGAGCGAGCTTTTCGTTTTTTCCAAAAAAGCTTTTACGTCGGCTTGTTGTTTCAGCAGGGGCTCGTTAGCTTCGTTGTATGTCATGTCAGCCTGGTCAAGCAAGACTACCGTTTCCTCCTCGAGTTTCTTGGTAAATGCATTCAGGATTTCCTCTTGTTGATACATAATGGCGGCTTTGGCTTTCGTTGTGTTATTCTTCAGGGTCCCGATAGCGTGTTCTATCTTCAGATTGCTTTGAACAGCCTCGTTCATTTGTTGCTCAAAGATGGCGGACGATGTCTTCAATGCCTCCTTGTACTGTACAACAACGTCTGCCAAAGGAAACCACAAATGTTCTAAACGTGCATGACTGACGTCCACGCAATATCGGCAAACAAGTGCTTTGCATGTTTCGCAGTAAAACTTGAGGACTTTGTCGTGTTTCTCACAACGAGGTTTCGCTCTTGCTTTTGCTCGGTTTTCAGGCTTTGCTAATTCTTCCAACGTCAACACAATATGATGTTCAAAGGGAAGCCAGGTCTTGTGGACTTCCATGCATTTTTCACACAGATAATTCTCGCATGATATACATCTGCTCATGGCCGGATTTTTAGCTCTACAAGACTGGCATTTAACATCTTCGGCTTGTTGCTGTAGAGTGAGTAATTCCAGCATGTTGTTGATAAAGTGGTTTGATGGCATCTTGTCGACGCTTTCTCCCTCTTTGACGTGAAACTCGGTTCGGCATACTGGACATTCAAAGACCTCTGGTGCTTTGGCTTTTGCTTTGGCTGCTTTCTTTCGGTGAGCCGCAACAAAGTTCCCTAAACAGTGTTTACAAAACGAATGGAAGCATGATAATGTCCGTGGTTGAGTTAGTGTTTCAGTGCAAATCGAGCACTCTAACAGCATCTCCCATTGCTTCACAGCCTTCACAGGAGCAGTATCTGACACAGTAGCCATAGTGCTTTGTACTTTGGTAATATTCACTTTCGTTTCTTGGTTTTCCTTGTGCTGTAGCGAAGTCGATACAAAGCTTACACTGTTACAGTTACACTGCATGCATGATATTTTACCAAGAATATTAAATGTCTGTTTTTTTATTGCATGCATGGTTAATTAATCATGACACGTAGGAGTTCTGTTTCCTTTGCAACTGATGAGCATAAAATTTCCGGAACACGAATTAAATATAATAACCAGTGTTTCACAGAAAATTCCCCTACGTTGTCTACATCATTTAATGAATACTTAGGAAAATATCCTTAGTTTATTATTCAATCGTTATTGCGATCATCATTTTGGTACTATATATGATGTGTTCAATGGATATAATTTATGTTTTAAATTAAGAGTGCTAGACATAAACAAATGTTTATTAAACGATATATTTTGACCTTTTAACCTATTGCAAAATTGGCTTCCAATATAGCAAGGTCGCAAAATTTCAGTAGCCCAAACTCTGTGTGTCTTTATTTTATTACTTTCCATTAACCTTTAAAATTTAATTTTAATTGCAAATCATAAGTTACTTAATTTTCGTTGACCAGCTTTATGCATTTCTGTTTGGGCAGGTTCAGTTGTGTAACAAGCCGATAAAATATTGCCAAACTCTTCTACCATCCTCAAGGCTGTGGCCATACGTATTTTCGTTTATTCAATCTTCCCAACTTGCTAAATCCTGATGTTTGTGGTGTTACTCTGAGTGTATATCCACACCGGGCGAGCTTGAAAAATATGCCCGGCCACGGTGGGAATCAAACCTACGACCTTTGGAAAGGTCGTAGGCAAAGGTCGTAGGTTCGATTCCCACCGTGGCCGGGCATATTTTTCAAGCTCGCCCGGTGTGGATATACACTCAGAGTAACATCACAAACATATTCACCTGAGTACACAACACCAACACAGAAAAATTGCTAAATCCTTTTACTCCGTCATCCATGAAGAATAAACTGATTTTAAACTACTTTCTTCGAGTTCCGACAGATTCTACTTGAGTCAATCTGTCTTGACACCATCAAAAATTTTAATTTAACGAAATTTGTAACCGCTCTTCTCGTTTGAATCCACGTACATTTCGACGAGGAGTTCGAAATAAGCGGGTTCGACATAGCGGGGCGGGCTCTTCTATATATCAATTAACTGAAGTGGTCCTCTACGACAATTTGCCCCGCCAGTGCCCTCTCGCCGATCTGGCATCGCTGACTGTTTCATTTGATTTACCCTCTCCAGCAAGAGTTGGGACAACCTCTGGGTTTGGGTTAGTTTCTTGTATTGGTTAAAGAGCCACAAGAACAAGAAAAGATTTAAAGGAGATTGGCAACAAAAATTGCTTCATCTATCTTATTGCTTCATCTGAAAGAGCATGAAAAAATAAGCCGATTGGCCGTTTAATGCTCTATTCTATCTCATCTAGTTCCGAAGTTATACGCAAAAATGTGAAAATATAAATTGCTGATTCAGCACAACGTGTGACGTCATTAGCTGGGCAAGTATGTTTATTGAATACTACACTGAAGCATAGCTCAGTTATTATGGGCCCAAATCAAATGAAATTTTGCATACTGATTGTACATGATGAGACGCATGGAAAAACACTTCTAATTTTGTTGCCAAGGTAACAATGTCGTTTCCAGGCCCCTTGCGCCAATTTTATGAAACAGCTTTATTCAAGGTACTTATAAGAATAAAATAATATCAGAAGTATGTGTATGATACCTATGCATGCCAAAAGTTTACTTGCATGATAATAATTCGAAAATGACATACACATAGATAAATGCAACTAGTTATTCAAAATCAGTGTAAGAGGCCTGGGAACGACTGTGTTGCCTTGACAACGAAATTAGAAGCATTTTTCCCATGCATCTCATCATGTACTATCTGTATGCAAAATTTCATTTGACTTGAGCTAATAATAACTCAGCTATGCTTTAGTTTACTATTCAATAAACATACTTACCCAGCTTATGACGTCACAGAATGTGCTGAATCAGCAATTTATATTTTGCACATTTTTGCGTATAACTTCGGAACCAGATGAGATAGAATAGAGCAGTAAACGGCCAATCGGCTTATTTTTTCATGCTCCTTCAGATGAAGCAATAAAATCAATAACATTTTTTGTTGCCAATACCCTTTAATAACACCACATGGTTCAAATAACCGCACAATTCACTGCGAAAATGTACTGGTGGTTCATATGTATTGTTGTAGGGTGCCTTTGTAGAATGTTGTTGTTCTTTTCGTCTTTAATTCCGACGAGCCAGAATTTTGAGAATAAACCTCTCGCATGAATTTGACACATTTACCTCATTACGAACTCACAAAGTTTTCCTAAGATTGTATAGGCCAAGCTAGGGAAAGTACATTTATTATGTCTAGGGGAGGTGGAATGAAGATGTCTTGAAAAAAGCTCATATTTTTACAGGGCCAATGTTGTGGTATTGGTAATTTTTTTATGAACCCCCCAGTTTTTAAAATTTTCGATGCCCCCCCCCCCGAATTTGGAATCGAAGGAGTACAATCCGGAATTCTCTCTTGGATCAGGGTAATGCGCTGGAACCTTGGAGAACCAAAAGCCTTGGTGCACGTCTAGATACGTGAGACATTCGCATTTATATCACATACACTTGCTCCCACCAAGGCATGTGGTACAACACGATGCCAGAGCGCTCAAACTGCAAGCAGTGAGCGCATTATATATATATATATATATATATGAATAAGAATATATATATATATATATATATAA